CTCCCCGCGCGCCCGCGGCGGCCTGCGCAGAGCACGTGCTGGTGCCCGCGCGTCGTGGCGCCCGTTGTGGCTTCCTCCCCTGGTAGGAAACGCAGGAATTCGGCCTGGATTTTCCAGTACCTGGGTGTGATTTAATGCCTTTACACTCCCCCCCCCCCTTTTTTTTCCTTAGATTTGGAACACTGGGGATGTAAAAACAGGGGTAGATTGAACCATGCTGACGCAATAAAAAGTTGTTTTTTCAGCATCTCTCAGCTAATCCTTTTTTTTTTCTCGCACTTATTTCTTTAGCAACCAGAACAAAGCCATATGTTTTACTTTAAACAACATATGTACCTGTGCRTAAAGCAAAACACAGCCTGAAAGAGCAGTTATTTAATTTAGAAAATAAAAATAAGATTAAGCCTCTTCAATGTATAAGCTTTTATTTTAATAATACAAAGGAAGGAAAAATAACTTTATTTTTTTTGTCCTGAGAAAACTGTTTGTGGTTTCATTAAACTTGCAGATGAATATTCCTTCTAGCTTTACTACTGAAAGCTTCTTAACCATGTGTTTGTGAAGTATTAGATATGCATCTCATACGTAATGGTCACATACTAATGTGTTTTCTTAAGCTTAATGAATGCTGTGGCTGTTGTTATTTCCTAGTCAGTCATTTAAGTGTCTTGRATATTTAACCATGAATTCTTTATTTCAGTTAGAATTAGAGATAAGGATCCCTAGTGTGCATAATCTTAAAGTAAAATGCTTAAAAGAGCCTTTAAAAGTTTCAGCTATGCTTCAAAGACATCTTTGATTGTGTGTGATAGTGGTATATAAGATTAAAACAGCTAAATTCATTGTCTTTTTGGCTGTGATATACTCCCTAAGCAGGGTTTGATGTCTGCTTTCTTTTGTTTCTCAGTGGTACCTTACTATCTACTAAGAACTAGGAGTGCATAAAACATGCAGCAAAAATAGTTGAAGAGGTGAAGTTCCATAATCAAGGGCTATTTCTCAAGGGTAAGGCTCTACACAGCAAGGGTGGTAAGACTGAAAAACATCTAGCACTGCAGGACCACCACACACACACACACAAAAATGTACCTTGTCTTGAAAGTATTTTAAACTGTACTGATTTATTTTCTTGCTGCAGAGTATTTCAGTTTCCAAATTCCAATTATTGAAGAGTTTTGATCATTTTAAGTGTAAATGCAGGTACTTTTTGGTACATAGTATGTAAAAATATAATCATATATGCATATAACTTTTTTTCAGGAAACACATGAGGAGCATGATACTTCAACTGAAAATGCAGATGATTCCAACCATGATCCTCAGTTTGAACCCATAGTTTCACTTCCTGAGCAAGAAATAAAGACCCTGGAAGAGGATGAGGAAGAACTTTTTAAGATGTAAGTAGGATATTTGTGTATGTTATCTAAAAGCTTATAAAGCTTAACTCTTGACTGGTTTTTGAAGAGGTAGATAACTTTCTAGAAATTCATGTGAAGTGATAAAAGCTGATTAGTATCAAATGTGGTATTAGAGATTGAATAGGGGGCCATGAGTAGTCACTAACTCAAACTGATAAAGGTTTAGAACAATATGAAGAATCTGATATTCTGAGTCTCTCTTGATATTTTTTAGCTTAGCCTAAAGAAAAACATAAACTTAAGACATACAGTTAGAGCCTTGGAGATGTGTTTTCACAGTCTGAAATGCAGAAACACTGAGAAATAAAGGTGAAATGTTTGTTGCTCYGTGCATCCCCACTTGCAAAAGGTAGTGCATAATACTCTGATACAGTACAAGCAATAGACAAGGTATGTTGTTGGGACATTTGTGATATTAACTTTCACTTTTAAACATGATTTTACTCTTGTATTAAGTTTACAAGATCAGTATGAGAAATGTCAGTTCAGAGTAGCTTGCTTCAGACACAGTATATATGCCTAATGAAATGTGTGGAAGGATTAAGAAATGTTTTGAATTTCATCTGTACCTTAATAGGTCTGAAACACTTTTACCTTCTGAGGAGGATATTCATCTAGAATTGAACTAATAGAACTAAAAGGACAATCAGCTTTTTTTAAAATAGCATGGTTATCTTTTTACATGGTTATCTTTCATGGTTATCTTTATGCAGTGTCAAATAGAAAGAAGATAGTGGTTTTRTATAAAAACAAGCAGCAAATAAATGAACCCAGGGAGCTTGTGTATTATGTCTGGAAAGGGGTGGCGGGGAAGGAATCATTTTTGGGTGCTGATTGTTCTGAAAGCTGTACTGCTGGGGAAATTGCSTCCTGAGTGTTAGTTTGACCTGGGAACAATTTGTTTTGGAACAAAGTAGTTAATTTGTATCAAAGTATCTGTTTATCTAACTTCAGTTTCTGTATTCTCTTCATCTGAGRCTGGTGTATTACAAGCATCTGCTCCCTGCTCTCTTAAAAGTACAACAACCTGACTTCTTCCAAAAATTCTCTACAGAGGTTGTTACCTTTTGGTTAGGACTGACTTAGCTGCCTTAATTAAAGTTATTCTCATCAGGTACCTTTACCATTCCCAGAAAGTTTGTCTAGAATGTACTTTTATATAGATGTGGACAGAACTTCTAAGAGTTTGTTGTGAAATTTCATTATATAATATCAGTTACGTGCCGCAGTAGATCGGAAATCCTAATGGTAAAGCACTTGTGTTCTTTTCTGTGTGGCTTAAAAAAAGTGTGCTGTCTGGGTGAGTATGTTACTTCAATAACAGCTCTGTACACAGACTCATGTCTTCAATTCTTTCCCCTTTAAGGCGAGCAAAGCTATTCCGATTTGCATCTGAAAATGACCTTCCTGAATGGAAAGAACGAGGAACTGGTGATGTAAAACTCCTGAAGCACAAGGAGAAGGGAACAATTCGCCTCCTCATGAGGAGGGATAAAACCCTAAAAATCTGTGCAAACCATTATAGTATGTTACATATTATACTAACTTTCTAAAAACAAGAGTAATRACTTTGGGAAGTGATGCATTGTAGATGAACAGTCAAGTGGCCTTTTGCAGCAATTAGTTGCCTTTAGCAGGCATCAGACCTACGTGAGGTCAGCTCTTGCTCTGTGCGCACAAAGTAGGTCCTAATAATCAGAAACATGAGTACTTTTGCTACTTGTGAAATGAACTGTGAAATATACTTGTGGTATATTTAATTCATTGAGAAAAGAGTTTTCAGAGCTGTGGAGTTAAGCTACATTTGGAGAACTTTTGGAATAAAAATGTTCAAGGTATCTTAATGCCATTCTAAAGTGAAAAGCAACAATCCTCACTTTATGTGGATAATTTCTTGTCAAAGTGGTACTATTTAGAATATTTCCTTTTCATTGAAGGAAACAAATATGAGTATAGTCACCAACTGATGAGAATGAAGCTTTTGTTTTGGAAAATAATTGATGCATACACAAAACTGATCAAAATTGTTAAGTTAGAGCATGCATGAGGATACTACTAGGACTTTTTTCCTAAAAAAGCTGTTTGTAATAACTGAATTTATGCTTATTCTTAGGGCAGATTTAAGGACTTTATTTTTTCAAAACGTTATATTAAATGAAATATCTGTAAATTCAAAAAGTGAGTATGTTGTTCAGAATCTTCTAGATTGGAAAAAAGGATACAGGGTCTGGAAAAACAAAAAATCCTGAGTATATACAGCGTAGAAAGGCTTAGAGTAATGCAAGAATTAACATGCCAACTTTTACAAACAGTCAGGTTAAGTGATTATAGTATCTCATGGGAGGAAGGGCCCCATGTAGTAGGCTTATCACTAGAGGGAACAAAGTAATTAAAAATACATTGTGCACATCTTATTATACCACAGAATGTTATAGTATGTTGTAATAGAGCTTTAAATTGATATAGAAATGAACTTGATTAGATGACTAATTGTAGATATTTGTTTTCAAATTATTTCGTTTAATATGTTTTACCTTCAGTATGCCAAAGAGATTTTTTATCTCTTTTTTTTACCTGAACCTTTTGACTGCTACTGTTCTCTTAAACTAGCCATCTGTATTAAGACATAATTGAATGAGACTTGGTGAATCTAGCATTCTTTTATTTATGAAATGGTCTTGCATTATGTTATTTGAGGACATAAATAAAAGCTTATTTGGGGGACCRTTTTTTCTGTATATCTAAAATCCTGTTCATTTTATGTAAGCGTTATAAAGTGATCTGTCAGTAAGACTTTAGAGGTTGGTGTTTACTCATTCTCATCTATACATCTTTCACTATTTTTTTTCAGTCACACCCTTAATGGAGCTGAAGCCTAATGCTGGCAGTGACAGGGCATGGGTCTGGAACACACATGCTGACTTTGCAGATGAAAGCCCTAAGCCCGAACTTCTGGCAATCCGCTTTCTAAACGCAGAAAGTGAGTGATTTGGCGCTGCACTTGCAATATATACTGTGTGTTGAGCTAAATGGTTAAACACATGCTGTATCTTACCATTACATGAAGAAGTAGCTAATTAGTACCTTAGTTAAGAGAAGTCAGTTAATTATTCTGCTGTTTGTCTACACATAATGACTAAATTAGACCTTCAGTGATATCTGTGGAGCTTCTTGCCTGAGGATCTTTTTTTAACTTAAGCTGTTTCATGCAAGTGTCATGCTAATCGGAGTAAAACTCAAAGCGGTAGTGCTGTTGGATAGAGACYGACTTGCACAGCTTGTCTTCATTTTTCTCAGGTGCTCAGGTTTAATCAAGATAAAATCTCATTGTGATGAAGATTATAATCTTTCCCTTTTGATTAAATGGAAAACCTATTTAGTGGAAGGTTGCTAGATGAATTCAGCTATCATGCCAGTCTTTTTGGAGGAAGGAAAGAATGACTTCTTTGACTACCAGGATGCAAAGTGCATCCTAAATTGCMTGTGCATCAGCTAGTAGAGCTGCATGAAGCTACAGGTTCCCTTTCCCTCTGTGCCTAGGAATGAATCAGATTTTTTTCTCTCTCTGTTCTTGAAAAAGATGAAGAAAAGGAGGAAAAATGCTGTTTCCCTTACTGCTTACTGCTTCCCTTACTCTACCACAATAAATGACTAGTGGATTAGCTGTCTTCTAGTCTGCCTGTATGTTCAGGAAGTAACGATGGTGGTAAAGTGGCTGTATGTTTTAAAACGTCTTCAATTTTTATCTTTCCTACTGTTAACTCTACAAAGTTGRTAACTGGGAGAGTTAAGGCTTTGCGTGGTTGGTAAAGTGGTGCAGTTGGTTCAACTTTTTTTTCTTTTTTTCTTTTGCTTTTGCACCAAACTTCTGCTTAGGCTAACCTTTTATCATATTAGTGTCCTGAGCTGATCTAAAATCCCATATATAGCATTTGAGCGGGAAGGCAAGACTGCAGCAAATATGAAACGAATCAATGTTAAAGTAGTAAATACTTTTTGCCGTAGTAGTTTTTGAACTTTATGGAGCAACAGTGACCTCAAGTGGTCAGCCAAAGCAGGCATTCCAGGTTATCRTCTCTAATTCTGGTGTCCAAGTCCCTTGCTTGATGAGTGCTTGTGTCTTCTTGTTGGATTATTAGAAACATTATGTATTGTAACTTAATTGATAAACTGCTTGCAGCGACTTAATTCAAATGGTGACTTAGTCCAAGACATAACTATGCTTAGCTGTTGGCAGGTGTAACATGAATCTTGTTTTTCAATATTGAATCAATGCTAATGATAAGCTTCATCCTCAATACTGAGTACACACAGATTGTGTACAACTAGTCACATTAGCAATCTCTGACATCAAATTTTTGCTTCTTTAGGTCAGGGACAGCTGGTAGTTGTACAAACTACATAATCTCTCCTTTCACAATGTTAAGTACTTTGTTCAAAATATGCTGCTTGTGTTGAGTTRCCAAAGAATAAATAAATGTCTTTGGGGGTGAAAGAAATGATTGTAGCATTTTGACTTGTATGAATTTAAATGTGATCGTTTCATAAATTTTCATGAGCTTTATTTGCAAAAAGACTCTTAAAGAGAAGCATCTGAGGAAGAGTATTCAGTGCTGCAAGAGGATAAAGCTGACAAAGATGTATTCTATCTTTACCAAAACAGATGCACAGAAATTCAAGGCAAAATTTGAAGAATGCAGAAATGAGGTAGACAAGAGAGCAAAGAAGGGTAAGTTGAAAAATGAGTGTAGTACCATGCCCTTTCTTGTTAGTGTTTGGTTGGTGATAGCTCCATAGAGCATCGCAGCCTTTTTAGCAGACTCACTCTGTGCCGAACTGCAGTCCTCAGTTCAGGTGCTTTTTCTGTCTGCAAAAGTAGTAGTTCATGGGTGTGAAACATGCTTCTTTTATGTAGAAGCCTGTTACAGTTGCTCTTGGAACATTGCTTTTTTGGAAGTCTATTGCTGAGGTACTTGTGATGTATAGTACATGAATTTTGTGAATGCTAACTGCCCTGGTATTTCCTCCTTTCTCTTTTGGTCTTAAGTTCCACAGACATAATCAAGTATTACACTTCTGGAGCTATTAACATATTTCAAGTTGTGTTTTTTAATAGGTCTCTTTTTTTAATGGCTTAGTATCAACTTGTCTAACATCTCTCTGACAGTGTGTCTTACTAAAATAAACATCTCTGCTCCTAAAGTACAGGTTACCTGTAACCTGCGGTCAACGCATTTTGAGATATGTAGGTGGGAATTGTTCAGTGTTAAGAACACTGTTGCAATTTCTCCTAAGTAGCACAGTTCAAATCGGGGAATTTGGTTTTTGAGAAGCCTGCTTTTGGTTGAAGATAATAGTAAAGCTTGGAACTTGGAAAACGTGCTTGGAAACAGTATGCAGTTTGCAGTAAATGCAGTACTGGTAGCAATGAGATTTGACTAAATACTTCATACTTCATACTTCTCGGTCACTGATTAGGCTGCCAATTTGTGATTAAAATGTACAAATAGTATTTCTTTGATTCTGAYATCAGAGATAATTACTGAAGGAAAAGATAAAACATGAATCAMTCCAGTGGTTGGTGGAGCTTTTTCTACTTCTTTTCTAAATGTCAGTTGTCTTGTTTCCTTCTACCCCTACCCTTTCTGTGAACCTGTGTTAAAGTTCAGTACTACATGTATGTAACTTTTTGTCTAATTAATCTTTTAGCAGGCACAGACAAAAATGATAGCGCTGATAAAGTTGCTGAAAAACTAGAAGAGCTATCTGTAAAGGAAGAGAGTAAAGAATCTGAGAAGAAAGAGACCAAGGAAAAAACTGAAGAAAAGCAATAAATCATCTTGGGCCTTGTGGTTTTTCCTTTACTTTTTTTTTYYTTTYYTTTTTTTTAATTTTTACAAGGGACTTTATAAGAAACTGAATTCAATGTTCAGATTGTTTTTTCTAAGCTTTTGCCCTTTTGAAGATGTCTTCAGAAAATCCATTCCCCAGTCATGAAAATGTACTGTGCTAACTTTCTTTTCCATAGTGGAAACACTTATTTATAGTCATCCAAAAGAGTGAATAAAACAAACTTGAAAACAGCATCAGAGGGCAGAACTGAGTTTTCTGTATACTTTAAAGGCTTGTGAAAACAGTTGTTTCACTGGGTGTTGAGATGCCTATCTTTATACGTGTGGATTAACTAGGTTGACAGACTTTACTACAGGGAAGATTAAGATTACATACATGTTTCTTACATGGCTTGTAAACTCTAATAATGGACCTTTCACTTTTTTTCCCTGTTTACCTCCTCTGTTTCTGAGCAGGGAGCATGCCCATGATTCTTGAAATGCAGCAGACTTCTGGAATCAGGAGGTGATAGAGGACAGGACTTCTGGCACACTAATGATGCCTCATTGGACAGTATAAGTAAAGGTGGGGGAAGAAAAGTATTACATAGACTTAAGTAGTTTTTTCTTATGAAATAAAAACTAGCACTCCCCTCTTTTGAAATGAATTAGTTAATCCAAGCAAAACTGCTTAGGTCTAGCACAAAGGTGTAACTGTGGTCCCASATATTTCATGATGTGCTACTTGCTGACTTGAGGTAGTATCAGCCTTTTATATAAAGGAGTAAACGAAGGAACCTTAAGTGTTGAAGTAGCTTACTGTGATATGTATTATTTCAGCATGTCACAATATTACACTCTAAGATCTTTAAGCTTTTTTCAGGGCTTGCTTTGCTTTTATAAATAGGAAGTTTTTTTCTAAAATGTGTAATGGGAGGCTGTCCCCCTTAGAGGGAGAAGCTCTGCCATTTGCTTTAAGGTAATTAGGTTGTGCACCCTTGAAGGGAGCTACCTGTGACCAAATGGGCAAATTGATCAAATTCCTTTAGGTGCTTTCTGTTTTATCCAGTTTCAAGYGACTGCTAAGTGAGAGAAAAGGAAATAGAGCAAATAACAAAATGAACATATTTTTTAATAAAAATTGCTGACCACTAATAGAAAAGTAGCAAGGGAATCTTCAATAACTGTTTACAAAATTATGAAGACTGGGCAAAACTTAACTTTAAGATTGTCTGATGTTTATATTGGATAGCAAGACCTTTTATCTGTTTAAGAAGCTTCCCAAGTAGGTCAAGCTCTGTAGTCCACCTGAGAAAAATATATTTCAAAGTTATCTTCTATTTAGCACTAACTTTTGATGCTATAGTGAATTAGCTTTAAATATGGAGCTATAATTAAGGTACTCACTCTATTCAAAGTAATTCCTTTGGTGTTCATGTTCTCCCTGTACAACAGATATCAGAAGTCTGTTTAATTAACAAAGATGGTTGAAAAGTAAAATAAAATGCTCTTTAGTGTTTCTGGTTTGGAAATACAAGTTAAAGCTATTCTTAATTATTTAACATTTGAATGTACAAGCCAAAACTTTATCTGTGAGTCACTGTAAATTATCTGATCTGATAATGTCAGTGTGTCTAAATTGATAGAAATGACACTCAAAAATAAATATAAATTTTCATTTAAAGGATTTGTTTTTTATTTGAAGAACTCTTACTGAAATACTTTGTCCTGCAGACTACAAAAGTATGGAAAAGGCAAAATGGACTGTTGTGATTTTGATATCAAGCATAGTATGGAGGGGAGGCAGAAACATTAAAAAGACTTTAGTTGGGACATAACCTTAAACATGAAGTTTGACAACTTTGTTTCATTACCATTTTCTTCACTTCCCCATTTTTACTTAATCATATGGTTTTCGGACATTTCACTTGTTCCTTAGGTTAACTGATGCATACTTATGGTTCATGAGTGAGTTAATGTAAGYCTAATATCTCAAAGATAAATTGCAAGAGGTAACTTATCAAGTCCTGCAAAGTAAAATAACTTCTCTGGATAGCATTTTACTGAGGAATGTCTTAATCATTTAAATTAAAGATTGGTTAGTCATTGTTCTAGTCCCTTTAGAAGCCATAAGTGTGCTGCTCTGCAGATTAGAGGCAAGTATTTTTGAAGGTTAATATTGGTGAAAAGTATTTYGTGTAAGTCATTCTGATAAACTTTCCTATATGTAGCATAGATTATCAAGGGATGTCCTTGAGAATTTTTTTTTAGTTCACTGAAAACCAGGTATTTTAGGGTTTTAGTTGTTCATAGTTTAGTTCATTTTTTTCCAAGCTCACAAGGTATTAAACATTCATATTTTACCAGCATTTTCACTGTTAAGTTCTTGAGTTCTTGAAATGATAGAACCTGAACCTCTCTTTTCTCCACAGTAGTCTTAAAACAGCAACGAGTCAGGTAGTTTTATGGAAAGATTCCTTCCTAAATTTGTAGACTGTCACTAAAACGTGTCAATTGCCATATATTTTTCTCTTGTGACAGCAATGCAAGTGTGATTTAAATGTTCATGAACCTGTTTGAGTGTCATATGTGACATTAAAAGATCATTGAGAAACTTTTCCAATAAAATGTTCAGTACAGAAAGTCATGGAATCTGTAAATTCCTGTGCTGTCTGGGTTTTATTAACATTTAGTTTGTCATTCCAGGCTATTTTAATACCTGCAGTTGAATAGATAGTATTCATGAGAAATAGTCTTTGGTATTTCACTAAGATAAATGTAATGGTTATTTTCCCTTTTAGTTCCAGTCAGGCAAATTAACTCCTAGCTTGCCTAAATGTGGACTAAATTCATGGGGCTATAAAGTTGTGTTAATGTAGCTGTCTAGGGATGAAGGCACTTTAAGCACTTCTATCTTCCATAGTTTAATGTGAGGATATGGCTAATGGGAGTGGAGCTCTTAAGAGGTTTTAATCCATTTTAAGAAGTTTTGCAGTTTTACTGAGAATAGATGATCCTGAGACTATTGTAGGAGTATTGAAGCTTAGCCATGTGCTAAACTTCTCTATTTGTGYAAGTCCTCTTTGCTCCAGGCACAGAAAGATGATATACAGCTTGGCTGAACAGCCTACCCTTTGGTGCTAATGTATTTTTGCATGTGTAAGAAAGTGGGTGGGTGAGTGAGGATGTTTGTAGTGATGAATTCAGCTTGAAAATAACATTGTTTTGGTTCTCATCAAAATTTGGCTTTCGTAACAGGTAGTTATAAGGTCTTAAAAGGCAGGCTGAAGTTTTTGGTTATAAAAATACATTTAAGGCATTTTTTCCTACATTATTTTGTAGACTGCACTAGTATTTGTTTTTCTGCAGGAGTAGGATTGTATTAATGATATTTTCTCATCTACAAATTGCAACACCCCAATTTGCTGTACTTTTAATACTGTAATGATATTTTGTGTAATGAGGTATCTTGTATTGAACACTTAAGTACTCTATGATACCAAACACTCAGAAAATTAAAATATTTCTCAACACTTAAGCAGATGTAAGAATGTTGTGAATCTTTGTTATTGATGCAACATAATCCATATGGAAAAATCAAAAGTGAGGGTTTGAGTATTCTTTCAAGCATAATACTAAACCTGTTAGTTTTTGATTTAAAATTAAACAGAAGTAGAAGGAACTAATTTGTTGATATTCCTTTATCATGCAAAGAGTTGTGATAGGGCTGTGCCCCTCCCCATCGGAGGAGTGATATTTGAAGGTAAAGAACCTCTTTCCTCACTTGGGATTTTCTGCATGGGTGTATGGGAGGTACTTGGTTCAGGAAGTGACCTGGTCTTCCACTAACCTTAACTAAAACCTTGGACCATGTATTTTCAGAGGCAGGAGATAATGAAAACACTATCTGCAGCAGATCACAGTTATTTTGCTCAATGAAGAAGTTTGAGGCACTCGACTGTAGAGTGGATTCTGTGTGTAAGTAGACTATAGTCTATTTGAAAGCAAAGGTGCTCTGTCAAATGAGCAGCTTGTACAATTATACAGAAATAATTGTAGTAGTTCTGGGAACCCACAAGCCTAGGAACACAAAATACTCCGTATTTAAGGGCTGGGTAGCTMTTATCTACAGCCGTGCATCAGCGAGCGCTATGATCCCTGGTGTATTTTTCTCAGTGCAAATTTAAGTATTAGAGTTCTATCTTTGTCTACTTCAGGCAAATAGGACATAATCATGGGCTTAATCTCTGCATATACCTAAGAGATTTTTTTTTTACATAATTGTCTCCCAGGAAAAATACAATCCACATTAGTTCCTTAGAGTAGATTTGCAGAAAGACTTTTTTGAAAATATTAATGGTGAAACTTGGGGTTTTGTAATATTGTTTCTGTTTCACGCTTGTTATCCAAACAAATGGTTTAAGTAGAGGCTAAATGTTAGGCACAGTTCTGGAGTAGAGGCTACATACCTCAAACAYTTTTGTTTGAAGGACTTGTCTGACAACTGAAAATTATGAATATTATGCTGCTGATGTTTTTTTCAGAGATTGTATTTTCAAATTTCAGTCTGGAGAATTCCAGCTTTCTATTGTGGTTTAGATGATTCTTGATTATAAACTTATACCTGCTGATTCAATGGATTGTGATCTTTAACTGTTATATCAAGATATAGAAGGTTTATTCATGAATTAACAGAGAACCTAATGGTATTGTAAGTTGTTGCCTATTCATATTGTGYTGGCTGACCTCATTTCTAGGTAAGTGGAAGGTTTTCTAATGCTGATTTTCCATAGAGGCAATTATAGCTCYGTAAACATCAACAAAGATGAATTGGGACATAAAAATGACTGGTTATTTTGCATTTTGTAGAGGAAATTTCAGAAGAATAGGCAACTATGTATAATTGGTTTGACAGTGCTTCATATAAATGGTGTATTATCAGTCTTAATAGCTTAATTTCTCTGCTGGTCCATGAATCACTGTTGGCTTTCTGGATTTCAGCAGTGTGATTTGGAGTGACATTCTGTACTAGCAAAGGAGAATTGCACTTTGTTAATGGTTTAAAATCAGATAATGACTTTTCAAAACTGCTCAGAGGCCTATGTTATTCCAATGTGAGTAGTTCCTTGTGGGGATGTTTTTGGAGTCAGCGTCAGTAAAATGATTAAAATCTCATAATAAATGCAGCTTTACATGGTTTATCACTGCAGTTGGGAAATACATGTCTTATAGCTGATATGTTTGAGTAATTGCTATTCTGTGGGAGGAAAAAAAAAAGAAGATTCTATAAACTGTTTAGGCTACTAAAAAGTCTCTTTATTAAAGAATAATTTCTTGGACCCAGTCCTTCATTGGCTTTGCAGAGGCTGGCTGTGTGAAGAGGGAGCTCCCATTCTGTATAACATAAACTCAAGTGGAGATAAAATTCTAAATAATTAAAGTACAATTTGTGGTTTTAAAAGTTAAAAACAATGCCTCTGTTCATCTTGCTGGTGGTTACTGTCTTTAGTGATGGCTTGTTGCTATTCAGAAATGCTTTATCTTGAGAAAGAGCAACAGTAAAACAAATCACCAACTTCCTGGTGTGTATATTATTCTTGGAGAGATCTTGGGGCTACTCAGCTTCTGCTGCTAAGTTAACAGGCTGCTTCTGTTGACCCAGAAAGGAAACTGGGGTGTCCATCCCAAAAATATAGATCTGGCAGCCATTTAAACTGAAAGATAAATCCCTTAATATATATTAAGCCCTAAGAAACACAGTTGAGTAGAACTCTTACTGTCCATTAGAGGATGCCAAACAAGCTTCATAAACTGTATATAATAGTCTAATTTTTTATGACAACATTTTGCATTTCAAAAATAGTCGATATTATGTTTTGCAATTATGAAATTCATCAAGGAAGTTGCTTGAATGGGAAGGAGGAAAGGCCTTGAGCTGATGGAAATGATGGTCTATGCCTGTGTCAGGCAAATAGAGCTAAACTTCAGGGTATTTAGGGAGAATTAGACATACTGCTAAAATGCTTCATTTGGCTAATTAGGACACTTCTGATGTAACCTGCCGTGCTGGTGTATATGCAACAAGAGGCTTCCAGGTTAGCATGCGGTGTCTGATTGTGTATAAAGTTGCTGAGCTTTCCACTAGTTATAGGAATTTTAATAATCATTTATTTCAATAAACTAGCCTGACAAGCACTAGTGAAGCATAGGAAACACTGTCCCCCAAGCATTTAAAAATAAGTAGTTGTCCTTCCCTTTCCTCAAAAACCTGAGGAGTTTGGACTTCATTTAAGTTGCCTTTTGGCTTTAGTCCCTTCAGGATAAAATGTGATTTTTTTCAAAGCCATTCTCAGAGGGCTAAAGAATACTTCTGTGTGTGTTTGGAGGGGGATTTATTAGCAAAAGCTGAGATTTCACATAACTATATGCCCTCAGAGTGAAATTTGCTGCATTTGCTTATTATAAAGCTGATGCTCGCAGTTTTATTACAATTTTTGCAAAGCTGAGAATCCTCACTTTGAGTTTAGTTGGGCTTTACTTGCTCTGTGCCTAATGCCTCTAGGATTGTAGAGCTCAGGTAGGCACCRAATATGGAGAATGCTGATTTCTTCTCGGAGCAGGCCTGGAACATCATATACCTTCCAGGAGCCATTTACCTTCTATGTAAATTTTCTTGTAAGCACAGCCAACAGAACCTGCAGATGCGGCTTTTTGTCYAGTGTTGTGGTTATTCTATCTGCATGCAGGTAGCTGCAGCCTGAGGGAGTAACCAAAAGACAAACCCAAATCCAAATGGTGTCTCATGGTCTTGCTCCAAAATTGCGGGTGGAACCTTGAACCGTCCTCCCATCCGAGGTGCTGGTTGGCTCCTGATGGAGACCGCGAGCGGTGCCCCTTTAGTGTGAGCAGAGGGAGCTCTTCCCCCAGTGCTCCTGTTGGAGAAATGAACTTTGAGCCCTTACCTTAAATTATGTCTGCCTCTTGGTGGGAATGGATGAATTGTTTTAAATAGCAGAACAGAGTATAAAGGAATTTCAGCTATATTTGTGCTCTGATACTTGTCCTAAAATTAATTAAACCCACAGCAGAACAGTTTTCTAAATAAAATTTATGGTGGATTTTGGCATAGCTGAAGAAAACCCCTGTAGATGAATCCCTACTAAGCCAGCTATGCCCAGTTCCTCCCAGACCTGGCCTGATTCCTCCCAGACCTGACCTGCCCGGTGTCCCTGCTAAGACAACTGTGCCCAGTTCCTCCCAGACCTGGCCTGATTCCTCCCAGACCTGACCTGCCCGGTGTTCACGGCAGGCCCTGGCCCTGCAGGAGATTCCTTGGGGATCACCGGGTTCCTGGTGCTGGGTGCCGGATCCTGCAGCTCTGCTGCACTTTATGGTACCAGACAAGGTTTCATGAGGAACCGCTGCAAGTGCTTTCATTTCCCAATGCCTTCTAAAGACCCTCATAAAACTCAGTCAATGTATACACACACATATATACGTATTCAGGACCGAAATATATATAAATAGGGCTGTGTGTACATATTGACGGCTGTTCCGTGGGGTAGAGGGCGGGGGTGGACGTGGCGGCGGCCCCGCCGCGGCGCCCGCTGCTCCCCCCGGTTCTACCTTAAGGGGCGCGTTGACATCAGGCGGGCGGGCCGGGGCGGCGGAGGGCGGGATGAGGAGGAGGAGGAGGAGGAGGAGGAGGAGGAGGAGGAGGGATTTCCTGTGCTGGAGGTCAGCTGTGCGCAGTGCCTCGCTCGCGCTTCCCGCCTCGTTCCTCGGCTCGCCGCGCCGGGCCCGCGCGGAGGCTGCCGCGCCGCCCCCTGCCCGCCTCACAGAGGGATGTGTAAGGCACAGGATGCCCAGCAGCACCGGCAAGAGGTTTAAACCCACCAAGTACATCCCTGTCTCCACGGCGGCCGCCTTGCTAGTGGGCTCCACTACTTTATTTTTTGTTTTCACGTAAGTAGCGCCCGGAGTTGTTTCTGCGCGAGGGCGGATGGGGAGGGGGCGGCCGCGGGGGCTCCGGCAGCGCCCGGCGGAGCCTCCCGCGCTGCGGGGCCGGGCCGCGCAGCCCCGCGGCCGGATCCCGCCGCCGATCCGCGTGTTTTTATGTAACGGGGCGAGGGGGCTTCGCAGGCGGCGGCAGCTCCTCGCCCTGCGCTTCCCTCCGCGCCCGCTGCCCGCGACTCCCCGTCCCGGCGCCCCCGAGCCGGGTCCTGCCTCGCCCCTCGCCTTCCTCCCCTTCACATAAACTTGATCCATGTCGCCGTTAACCCTTCCTCGGGCCGCCGAAGTGCTCCACAGCCCCGGGAGGAGATGCCTCCGGGCCCCGTTGGGAAACGCACGCCAAGGGAGCTGCCTTTGAGGTGGTGACCAGGTTCCTCTTTGGGTGTCAAGGTTTTCCTCTTGTTTTTGTGCTCTGCCTTTGCTTGGTTTTGCCACGGTTGAATTTTTAACGGAGCGCCACGATGCTGTTGGGAGCAGGCGGCTTTCTAAGAGCGCGAGTGCGTGTCCGTGCCGTTATCCATCTTGGTTTGGCAGTAATGCGAGTCTCGAGGTTGCAAAACGCTCGTTGCCGGTGCAGCAATCCTAGCGTGACGTCTCGGGTTAAAGCACAAGTGTCGTTTTGCCGTGACGGTCTCTTAAAACTGAAAAACTTCTGATATCAGGTGATGCTCTTGCCTTAACGTGCCTTGGTTTGCGATTGCTTGTTTCTAAYGCGTTCGGTGTGGACACGGGGTGTCCTTGCAGGACGTTGGACTAGTTCAGCGCTGGGAGTGGCTACACATGGACTCGGATCGCGCATCGTTGCCGACTGCCCGCAGGCAAGAGCTGGGCAGGAGTCGGCCTTGGTGAGGCCCGCGGTGCGGACGGCCCTTGTGCACCTACCTCAACACGCTCACGCCGCTAAGAAAGGGCTCCTAATGCTGACGTTTCCCTTGCCCTGCATCTCGAGGGATGGATGGACGCGT